AGTTTCAAGTCATTCTGATTATAAATAATTTTTGGGTTGTAATGTTACGTGTTTTCCCGTGGGAATGAGATTATCTCTCCCGGTAAAAAGTAGGCTATGTTACTTTCCAGCCCTTCAACTGTCTCCACACAAAATATCATGTCAATCCGTCTCTCCATTTCGACGTGAAAGAAATATACACAAACAAACACACTGTCACATTTATGATATTAGTGTGGATATCGATTCCCGAAAATGACAAGATCTCCACACTTACACCTCTTTAGGGGAAAAAAATCACAAAACTTTCTTAATCGCTCAGCTTTATCTTAAAACATAGGAACCTACTTATGTGCAATATATCAAGCAAGAATTTAAGATTTTTATTCATTAGATACGTAATTAGTAAAGAATTCGGTTAAATAATTAATATAAAATTATTGCAAGTTTAATTAATGTATTAAATATCAAGCTGATAGTTGCGTTGATTAGTCATTTTCATGATATAGGTACATACATATATGTTATATACCAGCGACGCACCCTCGCTTCGCTCGGTTTCGTCCCTGCTTACCTTTTAACGTTTAGTGTCGATTTATCAGAGATGAGATATTTTTCCGGTGTAAAAAGTATCCTATATGTTGACCTGGATAACCAGCTATCATCATACCAAATTTCATCAAAATCCCTCCATTGGTTTTTCCGTCATGCGGTAACAGACTGACAGACAAAAATTCTAAAAACAATAGAGTCGGCCTCTGTATCGATAATAATGTCTATTTCAAAAAGATTTTCCAAATAATATTTAATATACAGATTCGGCTTAGTTACAATTTTATTATATGTATAGATTATGTACATATATTAATAAAATTCAACTCTATTGCGTTATATATGAAATCATATAAAACTGCTTAGTTTCCTGTAAACATTTAGCTTTATTTCGTTTTATGTATAGGGCCCCATTTCCACACAGTAGTTTATTGCACAATAAGATTAATATGTTTTCCGTTATAGATATAATCTGCTACAACTACTTAACGAAATTTGACCTTAGATTCTTAGAGCTCAAGCCAGCAATTTTATTTACGATGTGTAAGCGTTTAAAAGAAATTGCATTAATTTGAATACCGGCTTGATATCGTCTACGGTGTTGCAATACACTAAGTTGTATGTAATTTTTTAAGAGTATAAATAAAATGTAACACCAAAACAACATGGACTATACGACATTGGGGATAAAGTCATAATTCGATTGTGCACACTTTGTGTTTTATCGGGATTTCATTGCATCCGAACGTATGAAATTGTAGGACATGAATTATGGATTGTCGATATCGCTTCAAGCTGTTGCTATATTTTTTTTCATATTCCTCTGGCGCGATACCGCAACGAATTAAATTAAAAGCTCTTTTCACTTGTCATCCTTTGATGAATTTCGTATTACGTGTCTGATAATATTTTTCTCTTTTTTTAACAAAAGTATCACGTAGGTATTATACTTATTGTATAGGTACCAATTAATATTTATTTGAAGACAAAAAAACCTTTTAGTTGATTAAATACTGCGTGATAGAGATTAAAAGCACCCTTGATACTTTTTTCGATTTTGACTTATCAGTTAGTTGGGGTTTTTTTCGACCCTTTTTCGTGCCCTACGCTCTATCGCGTACGTAATCAGTACAAATGCGATCTGCGATAGTATGAACTCGGTCAATATTTTAGTACGGACCTTATCCAGACTAATGTTACTTGACCTTTAGCTGTAGAGATTAGTTTTATACTCCCTAGATGATTCACTGGATAGGTACAAAATAAGGTATGCCATAAATATTGCTTCAATAAATTATAGTATGTACATCTATATTATATCAAATATATCGAAAATCTCCACCTTCTGTCACCCTTATGATAAACTTTCTTATTAGTCATTTAAATTCTTTTATCCTGCTTTCGTTCAGCGCGGTCATGTTTTTTCGGAATCGGAATGATGTAGGTAAACTTATGTAAATGGTATGTTAGTTCGATTAACAGTAATTACTGGTTTGTCTACAACTCGAGCTATAAGTCAATTTCCTTTTCATAAAATTTTAAAATAATTATATCTATAAAAATACGTTTCAACTTTCTATACTCCTCAAAATTAATTAATAAGCCCAATATCGAGGATTTTACTAGTAGCCATTGAAGAGTCCACTCATCCATCTGCTGGCTCAATCATCAGATTAACAGGACAAATGTAGGCAATTATTAAATTACTTGGATCAAAAACTTTCAAATAGATATGAAACTAGATATGAAACTAGAAGTGAGATTTAATTATATTTATAATTTGTTAGTTACAAGTACAACAAAAATACAAGAAACCATAATATATTACGTACAAAACATAACTTTTACTAAATAAATATTATCACAACGTTTGTTATTTATATTATTGAATCACTCCAAGGATTCTCAATCTCACGCGTGTCCACGCTTGTGAGGCGATCCCGACGTTCCCCGCGATGATTTATGTGCGCCCGGCGACACATGCAGCGGTGCGCCCGACGCCCCTAAACCTGCGTTTGCCATAGACGGGCGGTTGAAACGCAACGTTATATTTAGCAAAGCATTAAGAGTTTAATGTAAACAAGGATTGTGTGAGCGAAATGAAATAGATTTTTCATTAACAATATCTATTGAAAATTTTACAGTAAATATGAACGTTTTTGTTTGATCTAGAAATCTTATTTATTTAACATATTGTTAGAAGAGTATTTAAAATGTTATATTCATACTTAGTCTATTAAGATGATAGTTCTAAATAAACTTTGCTTGAAATGCAACACACAAATCTTATTTATTTATTTAAACTTAAAAAAGCAATAAATCAGTACGAATTGAAGATGGTTGGTTGAACGTTTAATATTATTATTTATATAGGCGACTAAATTAAGCGATTTCTCTCGGGCCGCGGGCGTCTTGCCTGCTCAGACGCGTCCTTAATGCTCTTATTACGTACGGTTTAAATCTGACGGCGGGATCATGTTTTATGCATCTGAGTGCGCGATGAAACCGCCAGTGTAATATATAAAGCCCCCTGGGAAGGGGATTTCATGAGCTGTATCGTATAAGATTTTGTTTCACATTTTTTGATGTATAAAAATTCAGTTTTAGCTAGAAAAGCTGTCGCAAACTATTTTTAAATGGATTTGTCTAATATCATTTTGTGCGTAATGATAATCTATGGTCTTTTTACATATTTTACTTAATGTTAAAAGAATATTTGTTGGAAAATAGGTATAATCTAAAATGATCATTGAATATTAAGTCAACGTAGTCTCTTACTATCCATTCAATTGTCCAGTATATATGGTAAGCGCGCATTACATATTCATGTATCACTAGCTAATATAGGATAGGCTAGCATTTATGAGCATTTGCATTCTTGAATGCGTCCCAAAATCCGGGACCGCGCGATGAGGCTGTTATCAATTTCCTGAGCAACAAGTGGGCGATAATTTTGAATCCGCTGCACTGAAACTTGTGTAGAACATTGTATTTCTTTCATTTACTTCCTAAACTACGTGTTTTATTTAATATAGAAATAAAACAAAATAAGTTTACAGAATAGCTTCCTTCTCAAAAGTTAAATAAAACATTTACTTGACAGGCAAATGGATTGTTTCATTACGCAGAAATTAGTCTGAGCTTGGACTGATGTGGATGTTTGCAAAACTATATTTGTCATCTTTAGATTGTCTTTCGTTTTTTTTTTAAATATAATGAGCTATGAAAATATTTAAGAAGCATTTGTAAACATGTCGATGTATTTATTTGCAATATTAATAAGTTAATTCAAAGTATTTGAGAATTATCTATAAATGAATTAATACAAATAAAAAGTGACACTACATATTATATATAATAAAAGTACGTATTTTAGTAGTAAGCCAAAATATGCACTAGCATTGAAGGAGGTAAAGCTATTATGTATTGTATGTATCTACAATATTTTTCTACAAAATGGTGGGAAGAACAACGTTCGCTACGTAATCCGAGTTTCGTGTTGGCTTTTATTCGAAGTTTGCATGTTTATCTTGTATTGTAAGTTGTTTTGCGTGTTTCTGTAGAAATGAAAATAATCAACCTCGAGTTCTAGATCAACTTTATAGACAACTGTATGAATTTTATTATTTACAGTCCCGGATACGTTTTAAATAATTGCAAAATGCCTTAACATTTCGAACAAACTTTTGATGCAAAAGTAGCGATTTGACTTACACAGAAAAAGTAGTTTACTGTTTCCTTTTAAAGCAACTATAATTATGGATGAATAAATTCTTTAATTAAGTCTCAATATTTATTACTCTGTACATATTTCAAAATATTTTTTGTTCTGAAGTGTCAGTTCCCCATCAGACTTGTCGTATTTTCAATTTAAGACCAAATTACGGAGTTCAGAACATCTTCTAAAACGCATATAATGGGCTTTGTATCTCTTCGAAGAATAATGGGTACAAAATGAAAAAGCCCTGAGGGATCTTAAATTATTTTAATTGGTATCGGTAGCGATGTGGTCGAGTATGCGTAGGAGCATATTTTATGACAAATATCTGCAATTTCGTTAGGAAACTTGGTTTTAATGAATCGATTATCAGAACATATCTTAATAGTTTAGAAACATGTTACAAAATTTATTGTTTATCAATATTTAGCTTACTATTTATCATAATTTCTTAAATAATATCCAAAATGGCGTAAAATATTGTATTAAGTTTATTCAAGAAATGTATGGAATATCAAGCTTAACTCTCTCGACAGCCGACCGAAATGCCGAACAAGCAAAAATAATTAACAAATTGATAAGCTCAGAACAATTTTCAATTAACTTCGCCGGCAGTATTCGCTGTTAACAAATAACCACCATTAGTCAGAAGTGTCTATGTTGTTTTTAATGTCAGTATAATAGCTGGAGTAGTTAATTTAAAATATTCTCGTTTCGAAATTTCCTAACGTCTCGTTTTATCTGATTTCAGAACGAAAGCGGGGTCGGCAAACGTACACCCGGTACCAGACGCTCGAGCTCGAGAAGGAGTTCCACTTCAACCGGTACCTGACGCGGAGGAGACGAATCGAGATCGCGCACGCGCTCTGTCTCACCGAGCGCCAGATCAAGATCTGGTTTCAAAACCGACGCATGAAGTGGAAGAAAGAGAACAAGACCAAAGGCGAACCCGGCTCCGGCGATGAACCGGACAATATGAGTCCGCCCACCTCGCCACAGTAAAAGCCTTTAGCTTAGTTCATGGTCCAAGCGACGGATCGATCTGTTTCAGATTTGCCCCAACATACCAAGTTGGTTAGTGTCCTTTATTTTCATACATTGAACTTCGCGCACCGGAATGATGAATCTGAAACGATCGACCCAGCGGCCGAAATTACTAGAATGGTTTAATTTGTATAAATTGTATGTTGGACTTTTCATGATAATATTACATTATAACTAATACGTAACTTAGTGACTTGGCATAAAGAGTAATGATAGTGTGATGAAGAGATTTTTACAGTTGTTAAGTATAAATTAATTTATAGAACAATCTCAATACCAATAATTACCAAAAAAGCAGTGTATATGATTAGTAAACTGCATCGACGCTGATGTGATTGATAACATTATGTACCTAGTTTGGATATTATTTAAAAAATTACAGTTTAGTCGGAGTTTCTCTGATTCTTAATATTCTGGAATATTACAAAGTGCTTGTTACCTTTACGTATTTTTTTAAGTTTATTTATAATATGGTAAAACGTACTTATCAATTGAAGAAAAAATCTCTTCGAAGCCATTCATTTAACCGTAATAAGCACTTTGTAACAGATGAATAAAATTTTTCTATTAATATTGAATTACAAAACCATAAGGACCTCTTATAATTAACCATTGATAAGAAGGCAATTATTAACGATATTGTTATTATTTAATATATTTGATGTTTTATTTCTAATTAAGCTATCGAATTGCTATTTTGTACATATAAAAATGATAATTTTTAGATTTTATGATTATGTACAATTGTTTTAGTGTGAATAATATTATTGATATGATCTTGAGAAACAATGATAGTTCTTCATTTGAACTTACAGGAACTAGTGTATTTATTTTGTGAATCTTCTCTGATTTTAACTCTTCTACTTCGTAGTTGGAAAGGCCAGTTCTACAAGTGCAATGTATACGATTTTTCGATGACACATATACGTAATTATAACTGATAATAAATTCATAGGGAATCTATTTAATATAATGTAAATGTTGGAAAGGGTGAAGCTTAAGAAACTTACGTACTTTTCTAAAAGTATTGTGAGTGAAGTTCGTTGCAATTTAATAGCGAAAAATAAACAGAATTTTATAAAGATGGATTATAAACTAGACAGAGAAATTCACTTAAGAATGTAATTATTATAGTGAAACAAAAGTTACCTTCCATTTAGTAGGTGCGGTGGGATTTACTTGTTTTCTTCATTTGAACCTATGATCTATGATGAATCTAAGTAGATACGGGGACGTGTACACAGTATACCAAAGTTAGGAAATAAACTGATCGAGCAGTCAAATCCTTCTTGCATGGAAGGTTATCATTCGGCCTCTTCAAATTATACGAATCTCGCGGAGACAGAAAGGTATTTTTATAAAATCATTGCCTAACGAAACCAATATACGTAAAAATCGAACATTAATTATTTACTTGTATTTATAAGTACTGTTAAAGCAGAGTGAGAGAGGTGGAATTGTCGGGATTCGCGTTATACGTTTTTCGATTGTAAACTATTTATTGTAAATTGTTTTTTTTTTCACATAGATCGTAATTAGTGAATGACGTTTTAAGAACTCAGTGAGCCCGTTTCGTCTTACATATTTTTATTTGTGCTGTGTTCGTTAAGTAATGTAATGTAACAACTGTATATTGTCGATATTTTACATGGTATTTATTTATTGATTCGCTTTAGGTTCGCTATTTCACGTTGTTATATTAAATTGGCAAAAGTTGGTAGCAGTCTGGCTGGGATGCATTTTGTTTTTGAATTTTGCTCAAATATTTGATTTTATGTATCAATAGTATTAAGCTATGTTTGCTTGCGTATTTAACTTACACTACGGTAGCAGCACCGTAGATAAAAATCATTTTACTAAGTGCAATTTAATTGAATCCCTTGCCAGATGGAGGATTTGGTTTGTAAAATTAAAAAGGAATTAGGTTTAAAAAAATTAAAATTAAGTTTCGATTGTCAGATCAACTGACTGTTCTTCAATTTCAAAATTAGGTCCGTAGAAAGATTGTGGGAATGTAATTTGATCGATTTTATTTACCATTATTTCCCAACAATTCAAAATTTATGAAATATAACTATAATTAGTAACTTAATAAGGTTAGGCGAGACGATATTGTCATAAATATATAAATACATGAAATTAATAAAGCATAATTATTGTAATTTCAGATTTTTATTGTACCTTTTGTCACCATGCTCTATGTTCTTGTGAATATACTAAACTAAAATATTATAATCATGCCCAATTACAATGCAAGGGCTTTAAAGCTTTATTTCATACTTAAGATAAGATTACACAATACATAACTAACAATGATAAATATAATTAAAAAAACACATACAAGTATGTACCTATTGAATAAAAATATTTATGTTAACTAATTACTCTACGTCACTATAATACTTCATATACAAATATTGAAAAGACTTAATTTATTGTAAATGAAATAAATTCTATTAATTTAAAATTATAATATTTTTTAATGTTTAATATATGTTAAGATAATTTCAGCTAAGTCATTTTTAATTTTGTTTCTACTTATAGACAATAAGTATCTTATTATATCAATTTTTTACACAAAGCTATTTAATATGTGTATTCACCCCTTTTTAACGTCCCACTGCTGGGCACGGGCCTCCCTTTTATACGAGGGGGATCAGGCCAATATATAATAATATGTACATATATTTATAAAAACAACAATTTTCATTCTATAATATACAAAGGGAGGAAATCTGAGAGACAACAGTAATCTTCAGTCATCGTTATAAACTAATAGAAAAGTTATTATACAAAATTACATCCGTATCACAACTTTTGACTAATACGAAACAAATTTAGAAAAGCATAACGACGAAATAATGATTCGCGTGTAGGCTCGGTTCCCGCCGTGTCAGTCACGCCCGATTGGACGGCCCGAATCTCAAAATTACTTTTTTGTTTCAACACGAACCTTATGTATTACTGTTTTTCACTAGGTGTGGTACACTAATGGCTATTTAATAATCCCCCTTACTACGCTGAAGGCGAATCATTATGTAAGGTGAACTAATGCGATTTTGACAAGTTCGAAATTGAGGCAATTACGGTTTTGCAGGCTTTTAAATGGCCGAGTATTTGTCTGTCCGACGTTTCAGCTGTATGATTGATGTTCCGGAAGTCATTTGGTTGATTTTTGAACCTGGTTCTCAGAATATGTTAACTAAGGAGGTCTGAGCCGTTACTATATACCGTTTAAGTACACGCCAAAGTAGTGTATTATGTTTTACTCGCACTAGTGAATGCTTTTGTTGTATCTCTAGAAAGATAAATTGTCATTAAAATAACATTGTAATATAATACCAAGTAATACATCAAAATCTTCATATCATGTGACCGAATTTCTGACAATATAGCATTAGTCTTGTTGCGTCGCGAATATATCTGTGAGTTGAAAGGTCAGAGTAAATTGGTCAGTCAGTCATCTCGCAATGATAGCAAGTATGATTTATGAGCTCTCTTGTGCCATTGCACTTGATTCAGATTGGGTTCACGGCCATTCTGAGATAGTGTATTGTTATAATGTCCATTTTGTGACATTTATTTAATTTTATATCTAGTTACATATAACTAGATATAAAATTAATTACATAAATTTTAGTTAGATTTTCAAATATATAATATTAGAAATAAGTACTTAAAAATTTAAATGTTCAAATGCCTTCAAATGCGTAAAAATTAATATTTACTTATAAGTTTGTTACAAAAGGTTAATTTATTATTCTTTTCTAGCATTAAATGATTATATGTCACTTAAAGCTAAAGCAAATTGATTACCTAATATTAAAACTTATTTATTTTTTAATATTAAGAAATATTAATTTCTTATATGAAAATCATTACAACTTCGTATTGGAAAAATATAGGTACATGTCCTGACCTTGTCTTTAAAATGTAAAATTTTATAGTAAGAAATATTGCCATAATTGAGCGAGTATTTGTGAGTTGTGATTGATATATTCTGTAGGTACTTTATTTACCACAGTTTATAGAAATGTTAAAAAATAATTTAACTCTATGTCATATTGATATATTACTTCAAAAACTACCCTTTTACGCTTGTATATTCAATTTAAGGCTTATAATATAATCTATCTGTTTTGATATAAAAAATAAAAAACTAAGAATAAGTAACTGATACTTGATGAAAAGCAGTTGCAATGAAGACATAAATCACGATTCACACGACCTTGCCTCATAACATTCAATTTTATTGACTGCAATAAACTAACGAAATGGTTGAATCATCAACGTATCGATAAACACCTTGTAAATATCGTCCGTCCTTTTCATGTCAGTTCAATTTGTAAAGGACAAAAAAGGATGGAAACGACGTCTCTTCATTTTGCCGGCACGGAAAATAGTTTATGAGGGAGTTACATAGATGTTTGTTTAAATCAATATTGAACTCTATTTGAAGTCGATATGGTTTATTATACATTGTTGTCATTAAACTTATAGATTTCATATACGTCCTTAAATCGCAATAACGATTTGTTTATAGATATTCATGTGTCGGCGAACCTTTGTAAGATTTAATTTATGACATGTTATAACATTCATTACTTAAGTGTGAGTACGATAATTATGACATAACGGATTTGATCATCTAAACATGCAATAAAATAATTCTCATGCAATAATTTCTTCTATTAATTGTTAATAGTTAGTTAGCTAGGTACTTCTTGTTTCTAAAATATTATTTTATTTTCAATAAAATTTTAAGAACTGCTCTATACTTCCTCAATAGATACATAAATATTGTTATTAGTATGGTGTATATTTAAAACTTTATACATAATTTTAGAAAAGCTTCATATTAACTTTTGAGTCACAATACAAAATTATACCTAATCATTGTAAGTAAATTATCTATTTAGATATTCAAAACGATTTGTGTCTAAATAAAATTGGAA